ACAAGATCAAGTTCCGTGATAGTAACCTTTATATCTATAGAATCTCTAGGTATAGTTTTTTTCGATGAACTGAATTGTTATAGCACTACTGTTGATGACGGATCCTTGGTGCTCTCTGAGCTTGGCTGTTTTCTTGCAGACATTTCATTACCCATACTAGGGTACTGTGCACTGATGGTGTTACCAAATTTGGGTAATGAAACATCAGCTCAGAGTGCACTGAGCGCCCCTCACTTTAACCCTGAGCAACAAATATTCTCTTCTATAGGTAACACTTTTCATGTAATGTCCATCAGACTCAGTGGGACTTAGGCACAAGATTGGGATTAATGCAAGATAACTTCTTCCAAGTTATCTTCTTCCAAAAGATAAACACAGGGGTGGGATTCAAATTATTTAACAACCGGTTCTTTGGGCATGGCTTAAGTGGTGGGCGTGGTTTAGTGGTCATGTGACTGGGTGGACGTGGCTTGGTGGTCATGTTATAGGCTGAGCGTGGCCAACTCAATATCACTCACATCGAGGCATGCATCTCCTCGCCTGGCCTCTCATGACTGTAGGGATGCTGCAACAGTCATAAGTGTGAAAAATGGTCATAAGTCACTTTTTTCAGTGCCATTGTAACTTTGAATGGTCACTCCACACAAGCAAAGTACCAGCAAAGGAGGGGGAAAAAACTCCAGAGACGTTCCTGAGACAGGAAGTCTAATCCTGCCAAGAATGTAGTAAGGGTTAACGGAGAGGCAGTTTCTGTAAGCAACACCAGAATGTTTCCTTCCTGCCTTCCTTACAGGATTAGGCCAGTAATTTCTTCTAACAACCGGTTCTCCGAACTGCTTAGAATGTTAACAACCAGTTCTAGTGAATAGGTGCGAACTGGTAGAATCCCACCCCTGGATAAACATGATCGAAGTATGGTAGGGAGCAATAGATCTCATATTTTGTTCAAAAAAACATTTTTAATAGAGTGTCATCCAAATTAAAGCTGGCTATCAACAACATACATTAAATAACACTATTTAGAGCAGATGTGTCAAACATGCGGCCTGTGGGTCGCATCCAGCCCTCGATAGGCTGTGGAGATGGCCCACAGGGCTTTCCTGGAGACAACAAGGGATCAGCCCCTGCTGCCGGGGACCAGTCACGCCTACCCAGTCAGCCACGATGGCCAGGCCACGCCCATCCTGATCCTCCACGAGCAAACAAACTCCTGATGCAGCACGCGATGGGATGCTGATTTAGAGCCTATAAAAAAGGATTACCAAGAAGTAGGTGTCCTTGACATCATGGCTGAAAACACATTATTAATTCACAAACTCAAACAATATACACAGATACTAATTTCCACTTGACTCTGGGATAGTATATAGACTTATTCCCCAACAGTTTTGCTGAGTTCAGCGTGTCTTTGGTTGCAATCACCTGTTTATTTCAGCTCAAATTGTGATGGTATAAAAGAACCTGGGGAATTTGCTGTGTATTTGAGCTCTTGAAAAGAGCTTTGCTGACTATTCCCAGCTGAGGGAGAGGACTTCCTGCCTTGCTCTATAGCACAAAAGGCTTGGCCCAGCCTCCTATTCAATATCCAGGCTCTTTAGACCTCTGCTCACATCTGACCTGGCTTTTGTGATCATTCCTATTGCCACTTTTGAACAATGATAAAAGGACACCCTAGGCCAGATGTGTCAAACTCAATTTCATTGAGGGCTACATCAGGGCTGTGATTGACCTGGGGGGGAACTGGGCTGTGTGGCCAACTGGATGGGCATGGCCAGCTTGGCACCACTCAGTGGGCATGGCCAACTGGGTGGGCGAAGTCAGCTTGGCACCACTCACTGGGCGTGTCCAATTGGGTGGGCAAGGTCAGCTTGACACCACTCCCCAAACTGCTGGCAAGTTTCCTCTTCGCTTTGGGTAGACGGGGCCAAAGCAACACAGGCCAGCCCCTTACATTTTCCAGGATCCAGCCCATGGGCTTTGTGTTTGACACCCCTGCCCTAGGCTGTCTCAAAGCTTTGTTCTGGATTTGAAGTCAGAGGCTTGGATAAGGGTGCCTCTTGAAGTTGTCTAGAAACTTTCCCTTCCCTTGAAGTGGAGGGAAGAAGATGAAATGTTCATGCCCTTTGTGGCTCATTTGCTCTTCTATTATGAAGATGATTTCATGTCCCTGTTTTTCAGTGTGAATAGAATAAATAAAATGCTTTTTGAGGGTTTGTTTTCCTGCTTTAAGATAGACATTCTAAGTTTTAACTGAGACAAAGAAATGGCTGGTCACTTTTTCATTACCCTTGTCCTATGTCTACCATCAGTGGGGACATGTTAGACGTAAATAAAATCCAAGCATTCCACAAATCCAAGCAGATAGTAGAAGGCTGTTTTGCAAAAGTGGGACTCTCAACTGATTTCTTTTGACATTTTCAACTGAAAAGCATGAAAAACATTATCCTTTCTGTCTAGCCTACTTATTTCAGACTTTATTGAGCCTATCAGCCTCAACATAATACCCTCCATATGGATTGGATTATAATTCTTAAAACCCACAGTTATTGGCTTTACCAGCTCGCTCGCTGTAGATGAGGAATATTACAGAGCAACACATTTTCAGGACATGACATTAGGGAAGACTGTTCCTAAATCTTGTAAGCGACCAATCTTATACAGTAAAAATATTAACGTTATTTTAAAAAAGAAAAAAATGACAGTGATTTTCCTAAGAAGAAATGGAATTAGTAGTAAAATAACAGAGGAGTGAAAGCTTAAATTACATTCTTTAAGGATTTTTCAGATGGAGCAATGAAAAAAAGCACTCTTTCTCTCTTTCCTCTTGTCCATGAGCCTGTGCTTAGCATGATTATTAAGCTGAGAGAAGAGACAGCAAAACATTTCCAATTCAGTACAAGTGAAAATGAAAATGTGGGCATTAGCCACTTAAGAAATTCTTCCTCTGTGATTTCTGTTTTCTGCTTTTTTTAGTAGACTCGCATCAGTGCAGACATGGTTGTTTTATGCATTATCAGCCATTTGCTGTCCCAGACTATCAACCGCTAATGATTTACATTTTTGAGAAATAGACCGAAAAATGCATGAGTTTTCTAGAAGGTTTGTAACTTGGGTAATTACCTACATGAATGGTTGAATTAGTTATGTAAATTTATTATAATTATTTGGCACCACTATCCTGCTGCATGAAGTATAAATCTTTTTTTCTTTGTTGGGTTAAAACCTAACATTGTATTAGATAAAATGTGCAAATATACGTGCCTCACAGACAGATTACCACAGTAGTGTAATGAAGTGGTTCAGGCAACTTTTCATGTCAATTTTTTAGATAAATGGAACTTGCACAGTTTCAACTTCCACATGTGTTTTCTTGCAATGTACTGATTTTTAAGTGGGAAGTAAAGGTTTCATATATTGCCCATATATAGCATTGCTTCCTAGTCCCCAAACACATCAAAATAATTTGAAGAGGAACCCACAGTTCCCTTCAAATGTGCTAATTTAGCCCAACTGGGGGAGCGGGGGTGGAAACCCAGCAGAAATCCCACAAGTTGTCTTCAGTACTGCTATAACAAAGGTCTTCTCACTGCTATACCATGCAAAAGAGAAATAAAGCAATTTGCTTGTGTAGGCACACACAAAGGTCCATGTTTTTACTTTGATGCTGCTGTGATTTGTCTGACTGTATGCAAAAATAAATAAATCTGGGAAGCAATATCATCTTTCAGAAACCATGACAGTGTCAAAATAATAAGATATGCCATTGGTTAATTGGTATTATTACATAATGATGTCATGACTCCTGATGCAAATATGTAAGCTGCATTATTTATATTATGATGTAATGATTATGTTCCACCCTTCCCCAACATGCTAAACACATAACATGAAGTAGTAGTTTCTACAAATGGGAGACCGAGCTTTACACAAGCCTTATAGAGTAGGAATGATTTAAAGAAAGACTACTTTTGCTGCATTTTCAAATACATGAGCCAGAAATACATCATGTTCATATTTTTAGACAGACATGTGAAGTCAGAAATCTGGAGATGGCTTTCATCAGAAATGATATAAGATGAACTATCTTGCACAATATTTCAGGCTTCCTCTTTTTCTACAATCTTATCTAATTGATTTTGGCTAGTTTTCTATCAATGGATTAAAAAGAATATTGGAAGACACTGCAGTTCTGCTCATTGGATTTTATTTGTTCAAAAGTCTTGTTTCGCATTTGCCTTTAGGTGTCAGTAATATATTTTCAAATATGTTTCTGTGCAAATTGCAGTCAAATGGGCTAGAAATTGACTTAAAATGATAGAGAGCTAAGATCTTTCAAATCAAAACAGCAGCAGTTTTGTAGAAATCAGAAAGGTACATGTAGCTAAAATGTTTGTGAACCAGAGAGACATACTGCTTGGAATACTAAGGCAGCAAAGATTCCATTGTGTGTAATCTACAGGCAGGATCAAGCACAAATTCAACCTTGGGTTTTTCTGGTCCTCTGAACAACCAGTTTCCAAACTTCTTCATGCTTTGGAACCTGTTGATTAAAAAGAAATTCCCTAATCAAGAGGCAGAGCTCTAGTGACAAAAGATTGACCATCACTTTCTTCTCCATTATATTCTCATGAAACACTAAAGAACTCCTTGTGAAAAATCTTGCTCTAAACCACGCTACGGTTCTCTGCATTATACAAAAATGGAGAAAAGCCATATTTAAGGATGCAAAACTGGAGTTTTGTACTAATGCCAATCAGCAGCTCAGTTATGGGATCTCATATATTTGCTATCAATGGCAATAATCCTAATTAGTCAGAATTTGCAGCTTTGGTCACTGCTTATTGTTTCAGTTTGTTGTGCAGTATGCTGTTTTACAGTGAGGTGGCTTAATAGCGAAGTATAAATTTATTGTAACTTTGGACTATAAGAAGCTGGAAATAAGTGACATACTGTAGAATGACTCATCTGCTAATTCTTCTGCTTTCTGTACCTTTCCTCAGAAAAACATAATGCTGACTGCTGCTGAAAGGCTGGGAATCCGAACTAGAAATGAATCCTGAGTTTTCTGAATCAAGCTGCACCCCCACACATTAACTAAGGCTCTCCGCAGGTAACTTGCTTTCTTTTTGTTGGTGCCCTTGAGGAATGTTGTGCGAGGCTCTCCATCTGGAGCCATTTGAAGAATTCGCCCACCCAATTTCTCTGCCCACATATCTGATGGAAGAATTTCTAAGGGCCAACTTGGCTCCTGTTGTTCTTCTTGTTGTGCAGTGAACTGCCTGTTGCTATGAATCAGAAATGTTCAGCAACTTAGTGAGACGAAGGAACAGAGATCCAGAACGGTAAATGCTTCTACAGCTGAAAGGAAATGAATTACCAGCTGTGATTAATGTTTCCTATAATAGCTGTGTCAATATTTGGTGCACGTGGCCAAATTCTCATTGCTTCTTGCTTAGGAGATGGAACTGCCTGAAAGTACTTGCCTGTGTACCAGTTTGTCCCCTAATCAGTGCTGCCCTTCCCAGCAGGCGTCCTCCTTTCCAGAGACCTTGGGAGGGGCTGATGCCTAGTTGCTTTTTAAGTAATTAACAATTTGGAGTGGAAAGTAAGCAGAGGGCTTGCCTAGTGTTTTAAGTTGGAGGGAAGCAATTTCACTTTGTATTCCATACACACTCACACACACACACACACACCGTGGGAGTGAGGAACTGCTCCAATCCGCCTGGGGTTCAGGCCTCTAACTTTTGGAGACTTATGTTTCAGGGAAGGTGGGGCTCCCAACCTACTACTTAAGTGAAAGTTGAAAGACAATGTATTTTAATGAGGGGAAAAAGGGCAACGCTATTACTTGAATATCTGCCTTGTTTCTTTGACAATCATATTATGTCCTTAAGTAAGCAAAGGCACACCTTAATTGTTGTACAGATGTTTGATTAAATGTGGGAATCTCATTATCATTCTACTGTATATTCTCCAAAAGCAGACTGAAAAGATCAAAGCCACGAGTTGTGGAAACTGGAACTTAAAAGCCAGTGATGTTTGTGGTGCTTCTTTAGCTAGGCCCTGTGTTCAGCAGTCCTAAGTATTTGAACCTTAGTTCTGCTAAATCTTTCCTTGAGCCTTGGGCCTTATTGAGCCAATGCAATAAATTGTCAGCCAAGCACAGTGGTCAGAAACTTTACAGTCTGTCATGCCTCTGTTGAAGTCTGATTCCAAGGGAGAGGAGGAGCAGCCAACAGGGAGTGGGAGTGTGGCTACGGAGGTTGTGGAGGAGGCTGGGGAGGGGCAGAGGCCGGCTGAGCATTCAGAGGAAGACCCAGGCCCATCCCCTCTTCATCCTAGGTCACGCAGGGAAGAGCGGATAAGGGAGAAACGTGAATGGCATGATCTGCGGGGGAGGAAAAGGCCTTGATCCCCATCATGGGCTGCAGCTGTGAGGACTGTTGAAAAGGACAAACTGCGCATGGGCCAGTGCTGGAAGCAAAGTGTGAAAATATTTCTAGTTTGTCAGTTCTTATCTGAGTTTTGGCGTCCTTCCCAGTGTGTATTTTGATATCTATGGACGTCTTCAAGCCCTTATCCTGCCTTGTCTCATTAATTGCTTCAGTGTGGTTTGTGTTTTTTTTTTTCTTATTTATAATTTATATGCATTCTGAGCTTGAAGGGAAGTTCTTCCTTTTCACAACTGTTTGTGGGGGAGTTTTCCCTCCAGTCAGTGATAATTGGACCTTTGAAGACAAGTTGAAGGAATTAAAGGGACTTCACCTGTTTTTGTGACTTTGTTGCTTTTGTATCCCACCCTGGGTCATCACACAGTCTTTGAGATTCCACACACTTTTGACTAACCAGAATACTAAGGCTGTAGAATCTAGGCCTGATAATAGTCATGCCTGATATAATTTTTGGTTCCTAATCCATTTCCTTTCAAAAAAGAGACTTTATTGGATCTATGTTATTAGAAAAACAGGAGAAAATGATGCCATAGATCCAAGTTTTGGACTGCTTTGCAAGCCAGCAGCCAAATGAAGGAAATAACTTTTCTTGGAACACCAATTATGTTATTCTTATTTGAACATATGCTATCAGATGTTTGAGATTTTTTCCCCCTCCTCCGATGCTACAGTTTGATGAAAATAACTCAGTGCAGAGTTTGTACTTTGCATGTTGAAGGTTCCAAATTTGTTTTTTGGGGACCTCTGCTGCATAGAGAGTTCTGAAAAAGAAAGACTGTGGAAAGCCTTCTATCTGGATCGCTGGGAAGTTGTTTCAGTAAGAGTCAACAATAGTGAGTTGGTTGTTCCAGTGTTTTGACTCAGCATGAATTATATTAACTAGAGCTTGATCACTAGTGCCCTTCACCCTCATAGATTTTCCAAAAGATGCCAGTGAATCTTTAATTATTGCTATGTTCTGAATAAACACACAGGACTGGAATGGAAAGGAATGGTCACTGGACAATTTGTGATGAGAAAGTCAGACCGATATTGAGGCAGTAATCAGGGTATATTCTTAAAGCTGGTATGGCCTGAAAAACAGATCCCTCTTCTGACTTCATCCTATGCATGGAAGGACTTGCTGTCTGAACAAGAATAAGGAATCATAATTGACCTATAAATCAGGGGTCTCCAACCATGGCAACTTGAAGACTCGTGGACTTCAACTCCCAGAATTCCTCAGCCAGCTTTGCTTTGCTGGCTGAGGAATTCTGGGAGTTGAAGTCCACAAGTCTTCAAGTTGCCAAGATTGGAGAGCCCTGCTATAAATAATCCCACATGAGAAGGGAAGGGGTGGTACAGCAGCTTGCTGCCATCGCAGGACATCTCTACTCCTTCTGTCTTCTAACCAGCAGATACAAATCTTCCCCAAGAGACTGAAGTTTGTACTGCCAGTCACACCACAGCTGTGACCTTAGTTAACCCACCTTTCTCTCATAGATGTGGCCTAATGTGGAAATAATAACACTGACCTACCTTGCAACACCACTGCAAGGATGATTCCAGAGATAATAGGCATGAAGCGTTTAGATAGTTACTGATCAACAGTTCTAACTCCCCTGACTTTCTCACAGCAGATGGCAGCACGTAGCCGACTTTGATTGATCTCAGAAAAGCTGCACAATATCAGAACCTGATTTGTTCTTGAATAGGAGACTATCAAGGCTGGATGCTACATTGGGAAGTTAAAGAAAGAAAGAAAGAATCCCCAGAAGGCAGTAGTAGCAAATCACTTGTATATTGTTGTTCACTGGAAGTTGACGTTGATTCATGGAAGACGTTATCTTACTTTGACATTTTTCCATATCTCTCAAGCTTTGTTCTGTATTTCTCCAATATCAAGTTCTCTGATCCCTCTTAAACAAAAATGTGCAAAGCCCCTTGGACCTGATTTCCCCAGTGCTGGTGGAGGAAGATCAGTTATTTCTGAGGAGAGATTTGCATCTAGCCAAGTTCGGAGATACCCGTGGTTATTGGACCATTTTTGTGCAGTGCTTACTGAAGTACCTGTGTAACACCCAGCCAGTATCTGGAATTATAAGCATGATGAACTTAACTATATGACCCAGCCAAAAAACCCTCAAACCATTATGAAGTAGATGGGACACAAAGGGGTACCTGAAATACAACCTTGGAGGCTTCTGGAAGGGAGGCTGTGCCTTTTTTTAAATTACAAACTGATGCAGAAACAGGATAAACTGAATTTCAGGCAAGACAAATACAAAAGTGTACTGAAATTGTCACTCCTCCCTAAGCTTGTCAGCACAAATCAGCAAATAGCTTAATTATATATACTCGAACATGATTAATTTGGTCCAACCGTAAAGCCATTTTCCATAAAACAAGCAATGTCATGTAAATGTGGCTTTTTTTTTTTCAGATTTCCATGTTGAGTAGCCAGAATGTAGGAAGCAAGGCTCAGGTTTTTTCAACTGAGGAACTGGCTAGCAACTTCCTCAAACATCTCCATTAATCCAAAATATTGCTTTAAAAAAAAAGCAAAGATGAAACCTGAGCATTGGGCTGGATTATTCTACAGGGAGCTCTCTTCAAATGATGACCATGATGATGAAGTGAGACAAGCGTACTTAATGTCTCTATTCCCTCACCTGTTCTACATTGGTTTTTCATCTGCTGTTTTAAGCAATAGCCTGATTTCTCTTGTCTTCTTTGTCTTCAGATTTCACCTGGTTGATCCTCGGTTCCTCCGTTCCAAGTGAACTCATTTCTGGTGGAGACTTATCCAAATGTCTTCTGAGAGAGACCTCCCCAGGTGGGCACCTCGGTAACCAGCCATGGGAAACGTCTACAAGTACTACTTCAACAAGGACATAATCTTCCAGCACTACAACTACACTAAGGATAAGCTGGAGAGAGATGAGGAGTCTCCACTGACTCCCGTTGCCATCCTCATCATTGTGCTCTGTTGCTTCATTATCCTGGAGAACCTGCTGGTGCTCATATCCGTCTGGAGGAACAAGAAATTCCACTCCGCCATGTTCATCTTCATTGGCAACTTGGCTTTTTCGGACCTCATGGCTGGCTCAGCTTTCATTGCCAACATCGTGCTCTCGGGCCCAGCCACCTTTCGCCTCACTCCGATACAGTGGTTCGTGCGAGAAGGCACTGCTTTTACCACCCTGGCCGCGTCAGTCTTCAGCTTGTTAGCCATTGCGATTGAACGGCACGTGGCTATCACCAAGGTGAAAGTCTACAGCAGTGACAAGAACTGCAGGATGCTGCTGCTGATTGGGGCCTGCTGGGTCATCTCAGCCACCATTGGGGGGCTACCCATCCTTGGCTGGAACTGCATGTCGGACCTCGAGAAATGCTCCACTGTTCTGCCCCTTTATTCTAAAAGCTACATTGTCTTTGTGGTTACCATTTTCACTGTCATCCTCTTCTCCATAGTGGTCCTCTACGTCCGGATCTACCGCATTGTCCGCTGCAGCCACGCTGAGAAAGCCAGCTCCCAGACAATGGCCTTGCTCAGGACAGTTACCTTTGTCCTGGGGGCCTTCATCATCTGCTGGCTGCCTGCCTTCACCATCCTCCTGATAGACACTTCATGCGCCAGGAAGTCTTGTCCTATCCTTTACCAGTCAAAGTATTTCTTTGCCTTTGCTACCCTCAATTCAGCCATTAACCCCCTCATTTATACCCTCCGCAGCAAAGACATGAGGAAGGAGTTCCTAAGGGTGCTCTGTTGCTGGGGGATGATGGGGCAGGGAAAGCCAGCAGAGCGTTGCATGATCCCTCTCCGCAGTTCCAGTTCCTTGGAGCGGTGCACTCCAAAACAGGATCTTCCCACTTTACCTTTCATGAAGGAACATTCCACGTTTGTGTGAAAAAAGGACACCTGGAAAGGGACTGTGGAACAGCCAGGCAATGGCAAAGGATGGTGGGTGGGATTGGGCCCAAGAAAGCGGTACAAACCTGATGAATATATTGTCCTGGTGGTCAAATCAACCTGCCTTGGACTTACACGGAGGTATCCATTTGTTCACTAAGACCTGCACAGTATTATGATTTTATGTTAGGAGTGTGTGTGTGTGAGAGAGAGACAGAGTGATTGGCTGCTGAATGATGGAGTGACATGAAGCGGGGAGGGTGGGTAGCTGCCTGCGCTACCTAGACTCCGATTTGGTACGATTCTCCTCTTCTCTAAAAGTTGCTCTTGCCTGTGTTGCCCTTGCCCTTGCCACTATTATTGTTGTTGTTGTTGTTGTTATTTTGGCCCTGCATCTTGGAGCCATTCATCCTCCTCTTTGCACAAAACATTCACCCACTCTTCCCTGGGAAGCAATTGGTTGCTCGGATCAGTTAGGCCGTTTGCACGTTTAGTCGATTTAAACCAGTCTTCAATCTGAGGCACACAAGACTACAAGGGCTCATAATCCCAAACCCCTTGAACCCTGGGTTACCTGTCTAGAGGTAGTCCTTGACTTACAACCATTCATTTGGTGACTGTTCAAAGTTAACAACAGCACTGGGGGGAAAAAATGTGACTTATGACCTTTTTACACACGACTGTTGCAGCATCCCCAGAGTCATGGGATAAAAATTTGGATGTTTGGCAAGTGACTCATATTTATGATCGTTGTGGTGTACTGGGGTCATGTGATCACTTTTTGTGACCTTCTAATAAGCACAGTCAATGGGGAATCCAGATTCACTTAACAACCATGTTATGAACAACTATAGGTATTCCCTTAATATCTATGGCAAGAAAGGTCATAAAACGGAGCAAAATTCATTTAACTGTCTTGCTTAGCAACAGAAATTTGGGGCTCAATTGCAGTCATAAGTCAAGGACTACCCATAGTGACTGAAGTTGAAGACAATCATATCTTTAGAAGTACAAGAGGGTATATTCATTATACTTCTGCTGAAAATATGAAATATCTGGCTCTTTACATTCTGAGAGGGATGTAAGGGCTGCTTCCAAAGATGTATGTAAATATTTTGGGATACATATCTGCTAATGTCTATGACATCACAGATGCCAAACTATATGTTCTCTTCATCCTCGCCAAGACACTTTTATCAATGTTTTTAAAAGTCTTCTTCCTCTACTGTAGCCTGGAAGCCAAACAAGTTTTGAATTTGTTTTTGTTTTTTTAATAAGGCAAAGGCTATACATATTGATGAAATAAATGCAGAAAAATGCATAATGAGCTTTTGTGGATACTGAAGAGAAATAATTGCAAAATTATCATAATCCCTACTAAATTTGTTCTTTCTGTTTTTCATATTTTTCACTGAAACAGAATGCATTTATGTTCTCCAGGACAGGATTTACTTCTGGCTGTGAAAATGTTTTCAAAAGCAATAACAAAGCATTTCTCCACCTTTCAGTAGCCACCCCTTCCTATCCTGAAGTAGGTTTCCGATTTCCTTCCTTAGCCTTGTCTTTTTGAAGCTACACTGAGATATAATCATACGAGCAATTAAGTGGATATTTTTCTGAAAATATCACATGCACAAGCAGTCTGGATCTGCAGGCTTATGTTCACCCACACTGCTCCCTTGTAGCAAGTATGAATAGACTTAATGCATATTAAGAAAGGGTGGGCTTAAACCAATGTTTTAAATGAGAAAGGGAAGATTTCTGTTTTAATTTTACTCTTTCACTTAAAAGTTGCTGAAAAAAAACTGGCATTTCCTGGAACTCTTGGTGAAAAAGAGTTGGTGACTCCTTCAGGAGTCAAAGAAACAAGTTTTAATATGGAAAAATTTTCATCCGTCTTGCAGATAGGCAGTTTAGGTACTATTGACATGCCCTGGTTTGGCCAGAGATCCTACAGGCAAATGCCAACCTCTTAATTTATTAAGATGCCAGTCTAGAGGAAGTTTGCCTGCAGAAGCATGATTGAAATGAATGGAATTTATACCATTCAAACATGAGCACTTAACAGATAACAGATAATCAGAGCTGAAAGGGACCTTTATGGGTCATCTAGTCCAACCCTCCCGCCCAAGCAGGAGACCTACACCATTTCTGACAAATGGCAGTCCAATGTCTTCTTGAAAGTCTCAAGTGATGATGCTCCCACAACTTCCGAAGGCAAGCTGTTCCATTGGTTGATTGTTCTCACTGTCAGAAAGTTTCTCCTTATTTCCAGGTTAAATCTCTCCCTGTTCAGTTTCCATCCATTATTCCTTGTCTGGCCTTCAGGTGCTTTAGAAAATAGCTTGACCCCTTCTTCTCCGTGGCAGCCCCTCAAATATTGGAAGACCGCTATCATGTCTCCCCTGGTCCTTCTCTTTACTAGACTAGCCAAGCCCAGTTCCTGTAACCGTTCCTTGTATGTTTTAGTCTCCAGTCCCCTAATCATCCTGGTTGCTCTTCTCTGTACTCTTTCTAGATTTATCTACTCTAAGCCTTAAAAAAAAAGTGAGAAAGACCAGCTTCTCTCTTTCTATAATGCATTACCATTCAGGAATATTAAATATTTATAACCAAAGGAAAGACCCCAAAAATATCAAAGCAGCAATTTTGAGACCACCATTTTCATAGGTTTTGACTTTGTCTTGCAGCTCTATAGAACTAGAGGAAAATCAATTTCCCTGAAGCAATCTTCCCATTCTCTCTAGGAAACGCGTTTCCTTTCCAGGATCAATACCCTTGTATCACATACAGGCAGTCCTTGACTTAACAGCGGTTCACTTAGTGACCATTCAAAGTTACAACAGCACTGAAAAAAAGGTGACTGATGACCATTTTTCATACTTGCAACCATTGCGGCATTCCCCATGGTCATGTGATCAGAATTCAGGCGCTTGGCAACTGATTCGTATTTATGATGTTTGCAGTGTCCAGCGGTTGTGTGATCACCTGTTGTGACCTTCTGGCATGCAAAGTCAATGGGAAAGCCAGATTCACTTAACAGCCGTGTTACTGACTTTAACAACTGCAGTGATTTGCTTAACAACCGTGGCAAGAAAGGTCACAAAATGGGGCAAAACTCACCTCACAAATGTCTCACTTAACGACAGAAATGCTGGGCTCAGTTGAGGTTGTAAGTCGAGGACTACTTGTCCTGTTTAAAAGGCATTAACAGGACAGCAGTTCCTAAAATCTCCCAACGCTTCTTACACTATGCAAATTGCATGTATTTTTTCCACACAAAAATAAGCTCCCTTGCTGTGTAGGTTTAGTTTAACATACTCCCAGTTTGGCATTTGGCTGCCTCAATGAACAGTGAAGTGAACCAAAGCTCCTATTGGGATGGTACCTCAGGGAACAAAAGCACTGCTGAGACATTACGTGCTTGGAGAACCATCTTATCCAAAGTCCTTGTCAGTTCCTTTTGTGCTTTTGGGAGAATGGAGCTCCGAGAGGCCTCAGCTTAACACTCTGGACATCCTTTCTCAGGTCGTGGAGTAGTGGACTGAGTTGGAGATCAGCAATTAGCACCTTTGGAAACAAATACAGCTGCGTCATCAGGCTCAAGTCCCCAGGTTCCACCCCACCGGCAATAGAGCTAATCTGATGCTGACAACAGGACTTGCTGGCAATTCGTGTTGAAAGAGTATGACCAACCCATGGTTTGTCCCCTTTGAAAGAAATGGTGATGTGGAAGACTGGTCTAGAGCTGCGCTTGGCAGCAACTTCTAGTCATTGCCCTGCCCCCACCCCCAAGGACACTAATTCTGAGAGAAGATTTTGCATCACAATAATCACCAGCCCTAAGCGTTTGTGTGAAGAGATTAGGTTTGTGCACAAATCCAGTCCTATCTTTTAAGTATTCCTGTCCCAGCCTGAAATTCCAGTCTGCCACAGAGGCTTTCTAAACTTCTATCCCAATGACAACAACAACCATCCAGCTGTAATGGGAGAACAAAGGGGTGCTTAGGGGCTTGCAGGGAGTGGATTTCTGAGGTTGGGGCATCATCTCTAAGACAGAAGCGATGAAAAGCAGGAAAGGTGGTAATGCCTTTAAGGAGAAAGCCAGAAGTGGGTGTTTCCTGCTTGCATAGCTGATTCCAGCCTGGAACCATGATTCACCCAGCATGATGTGTAGGAACACGCCATAGGAGGGTGAGAGGAGGATGTTTTTATGAATCAGAATGAGATGCAGGCGTGGGAATGATTTCCCTCCTCAGGCACAGGCAGTGCAGTCCAAAGTTCTAGAGGAGGTAATTTAAAGAACCTGCCGCCCACACTTTCTTTGCTCCAGAATACAGTCATGTATTTTCCTGCATACAACTCATTTAGCAACCACAATTGGGACCAGCAGTTCATCACTAAGTGAAGCCATTGCTAAGTGAAACTGAAAATGTGCTGATGATCTTACTGCAGGCTTTCCTTTTGCTTTACAGACCAGAAAAGGTCATAAATGCAAGAATTAATTCTAATCACCATTGTAACTGCAAATGATGGCTAAACAAGGAGATGTTACAAACAACAGGTATAGGATAAGCAAGGAAAAATGTGCAGGGGTAGAGTAACAAGAAACTATGAGTTACCTTCCTGTCAATGTACCTTTAAGCAGTTAAGCAAATTATATGAGAAATGATTTAAACAAATCATTATTATTTTTTGTAAATTTTATTTGAGTTTTCTCAAAGAGAAAAATATATATAAATAAAACATCTTTTTTGAAAGCAGCATAATCCCGGGTTACATTTCTTCGTACAGACACAAATTCAGGTTCATGCTCATTTTTATATTCTATTCCATATCTTATTACTATTTTACATTTTCTGCTTAGCTTCTCCCCTCTTTTAATTTTCTCAATTTTATTTTAATTATCTCATCTCAATTCAAATCATTCTATTTATATTTTTTGTCTGTCCTGTTTCAATTATCTATTATCTTTTCTCATTAAACAAAATTTCTCCTGTAATTACTGATTGGAGTATGACGCCTTTATATCTTTTCCCTAAAGTTGTAACATTCAACATAATACATAACTTCCATTCGGATTCTGCTTGGTACATTCTTAAAATACACACTGTATTCTTAAAAACATATAGTATATAATTATATACTATATAATTAAAACAACATTCCATTCCAATTCAATTCTATCATTAATATTAATATTCATTAAAGTCTTAACATCTTTAACATTACTTTTCAATTAAATATCATACTTCTATGGGAACAATTATAAGCTTTCCATAGTTAATTCCCCCCCCCCTCTTCACTTATATTTTATAAAACATTAACTAATTAAAATGTTCCCGTTCCTTCCTAACTCAATTTTCTCATTTATTTTATTTCACTTATTTTATTCACAAACATTTCACTAAATTACACTAACTATTTTATCCCTCATTTTAATCATATGTTGTTTCCAATTTTCTAAAGTTATTTCTGTTACTAATATAACAATCTTATGTACCTTTACAGAATCCCTTTTTCAGTTAGATTTTCACCCATTATCTCTAAATAGGTCCTGTTTCTCTATATCTTGCTCCGGTCCTTTGTAACTTCTTTTCCTTTCCTTCTTCCCTTTCTTCTTCTCTCTCCC